TGCTGTCAATATTCAGCTCAAACATGAATATGACAGGATTATTTTACAAAGTCACAGGTGCTTACTGCGTTCCGGATGTTAATTGAGTATTGAGGACAGAGTGCTATGTTACTGCATATCTGAACACATCAAAGAAGAAGGGTTTGCATGTTTTACCGATTACTCCTCATCAGAAACAGAAACCCACCAATTTTGCAATGTGTAGGAATTTGTAGATGTGCAACGTGAAATTCCATTTATGATAAGACATAAGACCAGGGGGTGTACGTGGGAGTGAGAGACCACACTGTGCATCAGAGTATGTAAATAAGATAAACAAATTCAGTCTAGCAAAGCAAGCATTCAATCAAACATATCGAGATCCTTTCTCTATGACTGTGTTTACCTGTGGTTTTGTTATTGGGGTTGATACAATGTAGGATTTTTGCTGAATAACACAATGTATGAATTTCCCGATTTTCTCATAGGCTACTAAGGAACACATTGTAACTAAAGACTGCTCGTGATATGGTGGAGAGGTAAAGACGCACAGGTGTGGAGCTCCACAAAATTTTGCTAATTACGGCACATCTCAAGACTTTTTGACCGTTTTCTACTGATATTTATTGTGGTAAGGAACTTCAGTGATGTGTGTAGTGTTATTTAGATATTAACATACCATTATATGGGTAAAAACAATCGAAAACGTAAACAACGTGATTCCGGTGTTCAGTCACCCGTGACCAGTGTGAGTACGTCCAGCGCACCCGTTGCCACGTATCCAACGAGCAGTGTTATGGCTAATGCCCATAATGTACTTTATAACCCGTGCTATCAGCCCAACTATCCAGGTACTACCAGTATAACACCCTCGTTCCCTCCCTCACCCACTCGGCCAAATATGTCCGGTAACTATGTTCCAATGCAAACCGGGAATTTTATTCCATCTCCACCACCGGTACCACCATCCCCCGTCAAACAGCACAGCCCCCACCTGCCCCGACTTCAGACCCTGTAATAGTTGATATCTACAACCGACTATCCAAACTTGAACTGCTACCCAAAATATATGAAAAAGCGTTCTATATGACCTTCCAATAAATCTAGCTAATTTGGTAGCAGTCATTGCAATGAGTCTTCCTTTAACCACCTTTCATTGACTTATAACGTGTCTTTACATTTTTTCAAGATGTGATTATGAAATGATATTAATATCAATTGTATCTCAATTTTTGTCTGCACCATTTTTTTGTTTGTTCTCATGTCACTTGCACTCACCGTTCTCATCCACATTGTACTCGTCATTATTTTGGAGGAAATAAAGATATGAATGAATAAGAACTGTGTCGTCTGCGTACATAAGTATAAATAAGGATATCATACTTATTGATTCTATTTGGTTGACCTTTTCCACAAAATGTTCGTTCGATATTTCATTCATTTTCACCAACACTGGTAATTGTTTGTGTATGCTGTCAATATTCAGCTCAAACATGAATATGACAGGATTATTTTACAAAGTCACAGGTGCTTACTGAGTTCCGGATGTTAATTGAGTATTGAGGACAGAGTGCTATGTTACTGCATATCTGAACACATCAAAGAAGAAGGGTTTGCATGTTTTACCGATTACTCCTCATCAGAAACAGAAACCCACCAATTTTGCAATGTGTAGGAATTTGTAGATGTGCAACGTGAAATTCCATTTATGATAAGACATAAGACCAGGGGGTGTACGTGGGTGTGAGAGACCACACTGTGCATCAGAGTATGTAAATAAGATAAACAAATTCAGCCTAGCAAAGCAAGCATTCAATCAAACATATCGAGATCCTTTCTCTATGACTGTGTTTACCCGTGGTTTTGTTATTGGGGTTGATACAATGTAGGATTTTTGCTGAATAACACAATGTATGAATTTCCCGATTTTCTCATAGGCTACTAAGGAACACATTGTAACTAAAGACTGTTCGTGATATGGTGGACAGGTAAAGACGCACAGGTGTGGAGCTCCACAAAATTTTGCTAATTACGGCACATCTCAAGACTTTTTGACCGTTTTCTACTGATATCTATTGTGGTAAGGAACTTCAGTGATGTGTGTAGTGTTATTTAGATATTAACATACCATTATATGGGTAAAAACAATCGAAACCGTAAACAACGTGATTCCGGTGTTCAGTCACCCGTGACCAGTGTGAGTACGTCCAGCGCACCCGTTGCCACGTATCCAACGAGCAGGGTTATAGAAAATTGTAAAACATTGTATAATAAATATAAGCGGTCATTGTCAGAATTTAATCATTGTAAATCTGATGATAACCATCACATATTAATCACTTCGAAACGTTCTTACAAGAAAATGGAGTTAAAGCTGAAACGTCAATACAAACGACACGAATGTGACATGCTGGAAATGTTAAAAAAATCGAACCCCAAGAAGTTCCACAAACTATTTAAAAGCAAATCAAGCCAATGGGCAAATTCAAGTTTATCAAACGAAGATTTTTATACTTATTTTAAAAATCTAACAATGAGTAATAATAGTGATGAAGATGACAGCGAACCTAATATCGACGAGGCCATCTACGATGAATTAGACAAAGATATTGATAAAGATGAAATATTAAAAGTCATAAACAATCTAAAAAACAACAAAAGTTGCAGTGAGGACTTAATAATCAATGAAATTTTTATTAAAGGAAAAGATATTTTGTTGCCTTGTATGGAAAAATTGTTCAATGTGATTTTTAAGTCTGGGCATTTCCCAGAAGCATGGTGCAAAGCTTGTATTGTTCCAATTCACAAAAAGGGCAACTTAAATGACACCAATAATTATCGTGGCATTTCGTTAGTTAGTTGTTTTGGAAAAGTTTTTACGGGCGTTTTAAATACCAGAATATTAAATTGGGAAAAAAAGTATGGTATTCTAACTGACGCACAGTTTGGTTTCAGACCTGGAATGTCAACCACTGACGCCATTTTTGTTTTAACAACCCTTATAAATAAGTCCCTAAAAAAGAAAAAGCGTTTGTACTGCTGTTTTGTAGACTTTAAAAAAGCTTTTGATTTTGTTAATAGAAGCAAGTTATGGTGTAAAATGATCAATTGTGGTATCAGAGGTAAATTCCTTCAAATTTTGATTGACCTATATAATAATGTTAAATCATGTGTAAAGTATAATGGAGTCCTAAGTGATAGTTTTTGCAACAAGATTGGACTTTTACAGGGCGAAGTACTGTCACCAGTTTTATTTTCCTTATATGTTAATGATTTTGAGATCAATTTCATAAAAGACAATTGTCCAAGTGTAGAACTGCAACTTATAAACCTATTTTTGATCATGTATGCAGATGACATGGTGCTGCTATCAGAAACACCAGAAGGTCTCCAATCTATGCTGGACTCCCTACAGGATTATTGTAACACATGGGATCTGGAAGCACATGATGTAAATAAAGTTAATTTAAATTTTTGTAAAAAAATTCTAGGAGTCAGACAATGCACTAATAATGATCTGGTTTATTGTGAACTTGGTAGATTCCCCATATAGTCCAAAGGAAACTGAGGATTTTTAAATACTGGTTAAAAGTGAAATGTAGCGATAACTGTATATTAAAAGCTGGCTATGACGAGCGTATAAGTGGTAATGATAACTGGTTAATTAATATTAGGCAAGAATTAGCTAGTATGGGTTTGGAGTATATCTTTGAGGAAAACTTACCTATTAATATTGCGGCAAAGATTATAGAACAAAGATTGCTCGATGTTTCACGACAAAGTATGTTAACAAATATTTCAAATTCTTCAAAGGGGTATTTATATCAACACCTGATAAACACTGTCGACTTACAGTTTTATTTGCGTAAGCCAATCCAATCAAAATTCAAGCGTCAAATTACTTGCTATAGACTGTCCTCTCACAGTTTAAATATTGAGGTCGGGAGGCGGAATAATATAAACCGTCATAATCGACTGTGTACTAGATGTAATTTAGGCGACATTTGAGATGAGTTTCATTTTATTCTCAAATGTC